CGAAGTTATTTGGCAGATGACGTATCACTGCCAAATAACTCGAGTTATTTTGGCAGCACAATCATAATAAGCTGCCGTATAATGATGCTTATCGATTTTATTTTACTTTAATTTACAATATTAATGAATGTTTCTATCTCAAAGTATCGACCTTGACTAATTTACTTTATTTGATGTGTTTTCTTTTATAATTTGACTTTATTTTAAAAAATTTAAAATGTCCAATCAAATTATTTGGACAATTGGACATTGTCCAAATGTTCAAATATCCAAATGTCCGATATCATAACATGCCATCTCTACTTGTCTATATACGCTATATACTTCGAATTTTGCAATTTTTGGCATAAACAATGTGCAATATCTATCGTTAAACCACCCTAACATCGACTAAAAAATTTTGCTATCTGTACAAGTTCGAAATTCAAACTTATAGTTGAATGAAAATAGATTCAAGCCCTAAAAATAATAGCAGTCGTTAAAGTTTTTAGGTATGTCTTTATATTCAAATGTTATATCCATGGCTATTGTACAATTATATCAATGTATTTGCGACTGTAAGATAACTACCGATAATTAAGTTTTATAAAATGACATACTACTAATAGTTTCTATTCAAATGGGGACGTGCTAATTACATATATTGTACAAATTTATTTACAGGTTAAAATTCATGGTTCGGAATTATTGATTTTTTGTTGCTAACAGTATCATTATTCAATGCTGTAAATTTTAACCTAAAATTTCAATTTCATTGGAACAATTCCATGGACTTAATGGTTATTTTTCGAAGTCCGAAGCGTTTCATAATAGACAGAAATTCCGAGATTTCTTCAGAAAATTTCAAAACTTCCAAACCATCATACCCGATCCTATCTTACACGTATATTTCGGAAATATGCTTCATTTTTGTCTCAGCCTTGTTCGTTCAATGAATTTCTACTCGTAATATTTCGGAAAATTACTTTTGTTCGGATTTGGAGCACGTGACCTTGTGATTCTGGTGATTGTCCGAAGCGTAGCGAGGACTCAACTGTTTATCAAACTACGTAAATGTAATGTTCGTCGGAAAACACCATTAAATATCGAAAATTGAATTCGTGATAGAAGTACAGAATTTCTCGCTTCGGACTGTTATCAGATTCTGATTTTCTTGATTATCAGATGTTTCGGAAGTTTTGCTCGGCCAGAAGTTTCAGTTTAGGACAAAACGCTGGCTAAAATCCACCAAAACTTACTTACGCTCTTCTATTAATATTTTTAATCTAACTATTACAAAAATGCCGCATTCCCAAAAATTTTAAAAATTTCATAAAAGAATAGGCCGATTTTTAGCTTCAATCACAGTAATAATTATTTTATTTTTAATATCTGATATATTCCAACATTGTAAACTTTTAAACGATGTTATTTAAATTAATAGAGCAGATATATAATAAAAAATTTTTCACAAAAATCAAATATAATCTTACATTTTGGTTCTATTTCATTAAAAATAAGTCAACTTAAAATTTTTTTTAATGTAATTAAAAAAAAAAAAAAACATTACATGAGTGTTGCAGAGCGAAGACCAATAACAGTATTTAATAAATAATTATGATCATTTGCAGGCTTTTGCTCTGCAACACTAAGATAATATATTAATTAGTAATGGCATATCAGAAATTGTGTTGCCTGCTATATATAATGATTAATTAGTTGAAACTGAGACGCCGAAGCCGCCAACTGTGAATCTCTAGTTGCATATTTAAGATAGTAAATAAACTTTGGACATTACAAAATTAATTCGTCTTTCTACAAGAATTTGAAACAGATTTTAACTCTTATAAATAAAGTATGTTGTAATACAGTAGCTCATTATTTAGCATGAAAATTTTTGATAAGACATAACTGAGTTGACTACTCTATTATCATTTTTCTAAACATAAATCGGACCTACATATTTATTATTTATAAAATATTTATGATTCATGAACGAAATCCACCTATTTTGATTATTTCTTTTAAATTTAACTTGAAAAACTTCATATTCAACAATCGAAAATCTTTTAGGTGATTTACTTTTATGTCCGTTATAAAGATTAAAAATCTTTTCGTAACTCCAAGGCTTAGAAGTACAATTTCCTAATACTCTAAAATCGTGAATCATAAATATATCGGTTTCTCCAAAACATGGTCCATAATCTGAATAGTTTCTAATTGCTTTTTGCCTAGGTAGCACTGAACTAAATTGGGCATTAATAGGAGATTCATCCGCAAAGGAGAATATAAAGCTGTCAGCTGAATTACGATAGTTATCTGAATTATGATAGTCATCTGAATTACGATAGTCATCTGAATATATACTACTGTATCCCCAATCTAGTGGATTATATCCACCAATTATTTCATCAGTGTCCTGAATCTTCATAACCACTATTGTTGGTCCTTTATTGTCACAAAGTCGATGAAATCTATTAGGGGTAAATCCATCACGAGTACCACGTAAAAGTAACTTCAATTCACACCGAATTCTAGCCATACTAGATTGATTTATTGTTAATGGAATTTTTTGAACAATCAGAGCGGCTTGTTGAAGTGTGATAATTTTAGAATTAATTTTGAGTATTTTTTGTTTTCTTGGTTTTGTAAGGTTCAAAAGATTCAGATGTAATGAGTTTAGGATACAGTTATTTTGAAAATATAAGATGTCTTGAAATAAGTTAGAACCAAGAACATCTTTAAAAGGAATAACGTAATAAAAAAATTGTTCCACGGTAAATTCAGTAAATCTAATAAATGAAATGATACGACATAATCTATTTCGAAGGGTAGCAAAATCCTTCTTAGACCAATCAGATTTATTATGCTTAATTATTGGAGTTTGACCAATTCCCCATCTAATTAAATTGTTCCAAATTTCAACTTCTTCCATTTGAATATAATCTTGTGATAAAATATTTATCCAAAATTCATCATCAAGTTCCAAGAAATAGCTTGATTCAAAAATTAACTTTGGATTTATAGTGATTAACTTTATACAACACTCTTTAAGTTTTATAAGTACATCATCATATTTAAAACTAGTAAATGTTACCAAACCTAAATTCTGTTCTATCCATTTGCATCTTTTCTTGATAAGATAATGTTGACCTTTATCGCCAACTTCATTTATAAATAATAACTCATCAGCAGAAATTAAGAAATCTAAGATATCTTTTGAATCGTATTGATCCCAAATAACGCTTTTACTATAAATATAGCTGTAATAGAAGTAGAAAATAATAAAAATGCTTATTAAATTTATTTTATTACTATACAAAATATTGCAAAAAAATAACAAAAGTTCTTACTCTAATATAATAAGAAACACATTTGGTGTAATATTAGACTTTTTTATGACAATTTTACCATTTTCAATTTTGGCCCAAGTTGAAGACAAAGCACATTTAAAAAATGAAGATCCTTCTTGAAGAATATTTTTATGCGCCATAAACCTTTTCAAATTAGGCTCTTCACCCGCTTCGATTATTACATCGGTGGACATGTGACTGGAAAGATAATTAAAATAATTCCGAGAACCTTCGAGAATATTGAAGTCATACGTATGTTTCATCATTGTCATCACGCACTAAAGAAGATGAGCAATTAGAAGTGTTGGAGATGGAATAGTTGATACAATAATCTTCTAGAAGTGTTGGAGATTTGGGATAGTTTACAAGAGGCAAGTTTATAACCAAACATATTTAACATTAATGATTTGCGTTTATATAATTCAGCAATTGCATGTGCGGAAATAGAATTCCGGATCGACTATCTGCGCCAAAGTTAACTAACGAATAAAGTTACAAAATCAATCGTATAAAAGTGAAGTAATTAAACATATAATTGGTGTCATTTATGTACAAGGAATGTTTTTTGCTAGTGCGCAGAAGACGATTTCATAGGCAAAGTAAGAATAATAAATTATCAAGATTGCCGGGATAATTTAAATATTATTTTGCGTAAATAATTAGAGTGTTCCACGGCATATTTAAAATCAAATCTGTGCAAGATGACTACTATATATGATTTTAATGTTACATAAATGAATATTTTCACAATTATTATATATTTCAAAGCATTTTTTTTAGATACGAATTTACCTCCAAATCTTTAAAACAAGTTTGTCAATGGCTTAAGAACAGTGTTACGTTTAAATATTTGTGTGGTTGTCGGTGTTTCGGGAGAAACCCGATTTTGCAGATCATTTGCAGATCAAATTGGGCGAAACTAGTTTCAGAGGGTTTCGGACTTATAGGGCGAAACTAAAATTACTCTGGGCGAAACGTTTCGGACTTTTGGGGGAGGTTTAGGCCGAAACACTAGTGATTGTATTAATTTTGAATGTTAAGAAACCTATTTTTATTTATTTTTTTGGTATAGCGGACGCCGTCAACAAAATTTCCGAAAAGCCACATCATGTGCTCATGTGATTCATGTAATTGCACATATGTGAAGCCATTCGTTCCTGTCACATGTTCACGTGAAATGGCTAGTGTGGCTCATTCGCATAACACCACATCACGTGAACACGTGATGAGGCTTTTGGAAATTTTGTTGATGGTGTTCGCCATACTATATTTGTTTTTTATTTCGATACACTATGATAATTTTGAACGTAATTACATTGAAATAATTTATAAGAACAATTCCCTGCCGAAGGAACAAAAGAAAGAGAGAAAGTAATCGTAATAAATTGATTTTTTTTTTTACTTTCGTTCATATTTAAATTAATTTTCACTGATTTTTTAAGGTTTGTTAATAAAAAGTTTGTCATAGTAATATGACTAATATACCTCACATGTTAAAATATGTATGCCGTGCTGCACCCTAGTGTACTATGATATCATTGCAGTAACAGTTACCGGATAAACTGCCTAGGCATCCAGGATTAGCTAAGTTACTGAATATGCTGATTTCAAACCGACAAAATAAACCAGTTATCAGTCGGTGCTTTCCTGTTAGCTTATAAATACCAAGGAGGGATTTTCTCAACAGATCCAATCTCTAATGCAAATTTTGATACATTTGTGATAACGATTATTCAAATTTGGCAATTACAGATCTTTTATCCGTATCTTTTACCTTTACTAAATCTTAGAAATTCCACAAAATAACTCTAGATTAGGTTTAAACTGGATTCCAAAATTATGATATCGCTTTTGCCGTATCATTGAATTAAACTTGCTATATCGATATTATGTTAATCAAGTTTATCTATAATAAGAGTAAGGTTACAACAACGTTTCACCACATTTCAGTCATTGTTATCATTTTTGGTTATTCATACCATGTGACACCAAATACTACACGCTACTAAATTATACTATATTATACTGCTTTTTTTTTTTTTACCTCACTAGCATTAGTTGTCGCTGCCATGTAACGATTTAGCATCATGGTTTGCTATATATTTGGATGTGAAAAATCATTTTTCGATCAAAAAAAATGATAACATTACCGAATGAATGCCTTTTCGATATATTTAATAACCTTCGAAATAACTACAAAAGCTTATTTTCATGTCTTCTTGTAAGTCGTCATTGGTGTAGAATTATTATTCCAATATTATGGAGTGAACCAACAAATTATGTTCATGATAAAAGGCTCATAAGAATATATATTTCAGCATTAAATGCTGAAGAACAAGCTTTATTAATCCCTTTTAATATTATCCTTCCAAATTATCCAAATCCATTATTTGATTACGCAAGCTATACAACTTCTGTTGGCTATTGTTTGTACGAAGGTGTCAAAAATTGGCTTTATCATGAAGGTCATGATTATGAAGTATATGGTTCTGGTAGATTTCTTGCACCACTTTTCTATCCCTATAGCGATATGTTAATTAATGATGACGCTGTAGATGCCATTATAGGTTCTTTGATTTCAATGTTTTTACGATCAAGTAAAAAACTTAAATACTTAAAATTTATCGGTACTATTTATAATAAAATGACATTTAAAGATCTCTATAGAAACACCAATGTTATCTCCATAGAATTTCATCCCTATAATTCTGATTCCGAGGCAATAGAAATATTAGTGGAAATTCTTTATAAGAACATCACTCTGACTTCTATAGATTTTTCTAATAATAAAATTGGTCCCGAAGGATTGAAAGCAATAGTAAAAGCTTTTTGTAAAAACACTACTCTTACTTCTTTAAATCTTTCCGGATGCTCACTTGGTTCGGAGGGCGGAAAGGCATTGGCAAAAGCTCTTTGTACAAACAATAACCTATTTTCATTGTCTATTTATAATAATCGAATTGGGCCTGAAGGTGCGATAAAAATGGCAGAGGCTCTTTGTAAAAATGTCGCTTTAACCACTTTAAACCTTAGCTGTAATGAGATTGGCTTTGAAGGGGTAAACGCATTAACGGAAGCTCTTTCTATCAATTCCATTTTGACTTCTTTAGATCTTTGTGATAATTCAATTGGTTATGATGGTGGAAAAGCATTAGCGATAGCTCTTTGTAAAAATACTGCTTTAATATCTTTAAATCTTTCCAATAACCTACTTGGTCCGGAGGGAGGGAAAGCATTAGCAGAGGCTCTTTGCAAGAACGATACTCTAATTTCTTTAAATATTGATCATAATAATCTTGATTCTGAGTGTGGAAAAGTTTTGGCAAAGGCCCTTTGTATAAACACTAAACTGACTTCTTTATCTATTCATAATAATCGGCTTGATTCTAAAAGTGTAAAAGCATTAGCCGAAGCTCTTTATAAAAATGCCTCTTTAGCTACCTTAAATATTGGGCATAATAGGATTGGTTCTGTAGGAGTAAAAGCATTGGCAAAGGTTCTTCATATAAACACTACTCTAACTTCTTTAGATTTTTCTTGTAATCAACTTTCTCTTGAAGGAGGACAAGAATTAACGGAAGCTCTCTGCAAAAATATTACGTTAAACTCCTTGAACCTTTCCGGAAATCAAATTAACTTTATTAAAAAAAATTTTCCATATAAATATTCCACAAAGATACTTAAGCTATTGAATCTTTCTACTAGACCTGTTAACTTTTAACAATAAACTTTTCTAATATACATTGCTTTAATCAAATAATATAATACAATCGACTCTTGATATATCGAACTGCATGTTCTAGGTTTTGTTCGGTATACATCAGGAAATTTTAAAACCTGATTAGAATCGGTTGCAAGCAGCTAATCGATTGTAATCGATTAATTTTAAGCGATTATTATCGGTGGGGATGATAATAATTGATTTAAATCAAAATCGATAATAGTCGATTATGATTAAAAGCGATTAAATTAAATCGATTATAATCGATTAGTTCTATCATAATCAATAAAAATCTTTATCGCGTGTAATCGGCGGTGATGATAATAATAGATTAAAATCATCAGATTTTAATCGATTACAATCAGTTTTCAAATTTCCTGATGTAGAGTAAATTCGCTATATAATTTACTTCTCTATATCGAACAGTTCAGTAGATAGAGTTAATCAATAAAATTTGATAATAAATGGTTTGCTTCGGAAAATCTCGGAATTTTACAAAAATTTTGTCTTATCCTTGCTCGTCATTACTTCGCAGGTATGTACATTCGCAAATTCTTATGATAGTTTGTTATACCAAATTATACATGCATACATATATATAGCCCTGGGCTAATGAAAAGGAGTTCAGATGCGGTATTTAAAATTTACTATTTGAGTTCAGTGTAGTAAGTCTAAATTGTTATAAAAAATCTGTTCTGCCCGATCTGGTTTGCTATATCCCCATTTCGGTTTAGGCAGGTTCGGTATATCCAGGATCGACAGTAATTGTTAAGAAACCTTCGATCAAATTTTTTTTAAAAGTCAAATTTTATAGGACCATCATATAGTATAATTTAGCCATTCAAATTCAAATTCATAGATTTATTGCACGCGGCATAGAGATGCGGCTCGGGTACAAATTTGTCACCTGGGTGAAACGGGTTTATTAAGAAATAGGTGCTAAAAAAAATTCCATTATCTTTTATTAGTAACTCCAATTCATCTGATTGCGATTAATTAAGTAAAATATCGCATTTTCCATGAAAAATATGTTAAGAATTCATGGAAATCTCACCAGAGTCGCATCTCTAGCACGGTAATTAGTCGCCCGCTTAAAATTTTAGGGTAACGATGGAAATTCAACCAATTAAATTTACCCTGCCATTATTACAGATAAGTCTGTTTGAAATTAAAACTTCGTTTAACGTTATTTTTTTGAAATTTGTAGTGGAGGGGAGGGGGGGAAATTAAACAACTATTAAAATTAAACGAGACTCAGATGAACCTAAATTACGTATTTAGGCCTAGACTTGGTTGAACAAAATTAATTATAACTTAAAAAAAAATAAAAGTTATATAATTCAATTAGCATAAAGTTTATTTAATATAGATGTTATTTAGAATATAAAATTATGTCATAACAAATTTTTAATTAAGTAATGTAAGCCGCTTGTAGTTAAAATTCCGTTTAAACAATCTAAAAAAAAAATATAG